CTATAAAAGCAAAACTGGTCATCATCAGGAGCATGAAATGACCTACTTTTTATTGTTAATTTGAAAAGAATGGATGGAAATGTAAGGCAAAAGTGCCTTACGAGTTTCTGTCAACTTCATCAAACAGTGATTATTTGTTCATGCATGACTACTGATTCTGTTGGTTTAATGTATCTCAAAGTTATCTTCGTAAACAAAAGGATATATTTTCTGAGCTGTGACACACTATCGCAAAGATTATGTATGCGTAGAAGCTGCTACTTGAAGCAATTTTCACCTTAACGATGATAGTAAGCTCCCATTTCTCAGTATAAGGATTTTTGTTATCTACGATGCTTTACGTACGATTTATGAACAAGTAAGTAGGTTTACTAGATAGTTGTTTTGATCAACGCTGCTGTTGGCGGATTGAAAGAATTTCTGTATGAATCTATTTCCTGCAGCCGTGAAACGTAGATTACGTAATACGTCCGAAAAGATGTGTATATGCCAGCGGACTGATTGAAAATATCTGATACGATTCAAGTCAGTATTTATTGCGTTGTTGGAGAAATTTCTGAAATGCTTTGAGGAATCCTGGGGATCGGTACGGTACTTTCTGAAAGCGACACAACTAAAAGCTTTGAAAAGATATAGAACACATTTGAAGATCTCTCTCTAAAACCGTCACGTCTAGACGTTTGTTAAAAACACGGAGGTCTCTATTTCAGGAAGCAGTTCATATCTGATTTGTTTTCAATAATTCTTATATCTCCTATATCTTCCCCACGACTACTTAATGGAGTTTTCGGAAGATATCCTGAAACACATTTTATCCGAAATCCAGCTTGATTGTATGTGAAAATGAAGAGAAAACGGGAAAAGTTGAGAGTATGATTATTCATGTAACTGATGTTAGTTCTTTCTAACTAAGTGTCAGAATACACTGAACTTACGGTTTTTTTTGACATAGTATCTTACTATACCCCAAATCGTCCATCTCGAATGTAAAGTATACTCCAATCGAACTAGAAGCACGTTGAGAAATCAATGGATCAGAAGAAATAATGAAGATCTTCAGCATTTTCGTGTTGCTTCAGTCTATGAAGAAAATTTACAGTTCTAACTTACATTGAATTGCCCTTAATGGGCTTATAAAATTTTCTCCAGTTGAAACATAATACTCCATTCCTCGTATAACATCTTCACTTCTAAAAATTTCATGACCGTTTGTGTCAAAAAGACGTCTAAATCGGATAGGATTCTGAAATTTTGTTGTAGCCGATGTGAAGATCTGAAAGTATCACGAAAGAATCCTTACAAATCTCCAGAGTACAAGAAATAGATTTCACGAAACAGAAAATGGCACTTACAGTTTCCATGGAACATGACATACACCAAACACACCGTGAACTATCGCCATTACGATAGACTTTAATATGAAAATTTTTTGTACGAGGTATTTGTTGATAGACTGTAGTACCAGCAGTACTAGAATGACAGAGATAAGAAGAGAAATGCTGAGTTTTTTTGAAGTTATGTGTCTTGTCTTTTATGAAAGTTTCAACCATTTTTCACGAGATTTGAACGATCGATCGAAACGTGTATCTTCCTCATTTGTAAAACAAAACTTGACTTTTCGAACAAAGAAATTTTCGTATCTTGATGGTTTCAGTGTCGAAAACAGGAGGGGATATTGCCAGACGTTCAGAGTAATCGATGACTTGGGTCATGCTTGGTAGATTTTTAAGTTTCAGTATGTAGACATGGATTAAAAACTATATTTACTATGAATAGTCGTTGTCAAAAATGTCTTGACACTATTTGTTCTTGTTACTTTTCTACATTCTATTCACGTATTCTCCTCTAAAGTTTTAGATAGGGCCGTAGGATATTCTTTCAAATATTCATCTCATGTTTAAATAGTGCGCATCAAGTGGTTTGCTTTAAATACAAAAAACATACACACACAAACACAACCATCAATATCCACAACGTTCCAACTGGATAAAATTTGCCAAAAAAGAATGGCCTTCGAAAGCACAAAGAGCAGTTTCACTCATAGTGCCCTCATCATATTCTCGAGTGAAGCCTAGTGGCATATAAAGCATCAAAAGCTTTTTACTCTGCTAACTACGCTCTAAGTGGTCTAAAGATTTTTGACAGATTCATCACTGTCACTCTAGAAAAGCTTTAATATGAGTTGATAAGTTTCATCAAAAACATTATAAAAGGTTTAGATACCCCATAGGCCATAACTGATACTGAGCGGAAAGACACAGATACCAGCAATTGACTGAATGATGTTTGAGAAGATATGCAAAGTCACCACTCACTCAAAAAACTCAAAGAAGCTTGCTTTTGAGAGATCTAGCTGGTGTGTGGATCTCTCCATAGTTAACATTGTAAGAGTCTACTTCGTAGTCATACACAGTGCGATTAATCATACCACCTGCAAGAGTGAAACACGGGCTATCTGAATATATATGAGGTTCCATATACCGGTTCCGAACTAAGGAAGGGAAAACATTCGCAATAAAAAGCATCGACTATTATCTTGTCGATCTGGCAATAATTCAAAGCGTAATGACTGCTTGGAATGGACCCGGCACATACATTCATGTATGGCCTTCACAATCGGCTAAAAATGCTTTGAAAGAGGAATCTTTTTGTACAATGACATGCAGGTTTGTAAAGACTCTACCATGATACTTGAATGGAATCTATGTATCACGAACAACTCGAGTTATGACCGAAAACTGAGCTCCAAACTGCTTTTCTAGAGTACCCGAAGAAAAGACTAGTCTAGCCTTGAAAAGTTATTCAACATAACAGTATTTGGATTGTAAATTACTCCAAATAGCCTTTCTTATAGGACGATGCTTCTTTTGACAGAAAATTACAGGTGGTCCGAAATAGTCATTTATGAGCTCTCAGCCGTTCAAATTACTATCATTTGTTACGAACTGAACGAAGAAAAGTTCTTGATATCAAGATTATTTTAATAATAACTCGAAGTGAGGATATTTTTTTGACTAAAGTCTTACTATAGGTCCAGCGACAGTCGTTCAGAAAAGAATTTTACTTTAGGAAAAGTTATCTGACTTTAGAAACTCAAAAGCAGCAGAGCACTAGAACCTCACTTCCAAAAATAATTTCTACTGGTCAAACTGGAACAATCACGAAGCATTCACCTCTTTTGTACATCCATTGTAGCAGAAGCACTACAAACTCTTCGAGGTTTATTTTGTATACATCGAAGCTTCTGTTCTTCAGAGTCAATGTCAATTCTTTTTGATTGAGTTCTTTTTATGGTCGTGATTAAATGATGATGTTCTTCTTTGCGTTCATAGCAGTCAGCGTAACCATTTTGATAGTAGCGTCGATGACGACTATGGTGGCTAGCCGGTGACCACGATGACGATGCAACATCGGTAGTATTAGGACGATCTACTGCTAACATTACTCGCGGTAGGTTTTCTTGATGTTGTGTCGTTCTTTCTTCTGTATGAATAGACGTTATTTTACCTACCAACTTATGTCTTGTGCTATCTCCAGCAGTATTAGTACTATAAAATACACGGTCAATCATAGCTGTTGACTTCTTGTTATTCTAAAAAACGATATTAAAATGCAAAAGTTTATAAAAGATCATCGCTCCCGGGAGAAGGATTTCCAGAAATGCGCTTATGCAATAAAAGGTTCTATTAGTGAAGCTTTAATGGATGTTGTTATAGTAATTTACCAGATTTATATTTTTGAATCAAGTTCTACGTACTACTATTCTTATATCTTAGCGGGATACTGCTTTAACGACTCACTCAGAAAAGAGATACAATTTTTGTTTAGTACCAATGACTTTGAAACGTTGCTGCTATTTAAAGTATCTATAGCTATTTAAGCACCTGCATAGCTATTTAAGTTTTCAATAGCTATTTAAGTATTTACATAGCTATTTAACCACTCGCATAGCTATTTAACTACTTGTATAGCTATTTAAGATTTGCATCACTATTTAAGTTTTCCATAGCTATTTAACTACTTGTATAGCTATTTAAAGTTTGCATAGCTATTTACGTATTTACATAGCTATTTAAGTATTTGCATAGCTATTTAAGTTTTCTATAGCTTTTTAAGTATTTAAATAGTTATTGAAGTAGTGGCATAAGTATTTAAATTTTACATAGCTATTCAAACAGTTGCGTGAGTATTTTTGCACTACATAGCTATTTAAACCTTCTAGTGCCATTGAAATATTTCGATGGTGCCTATTTAGTATTAGATACTCGCAAACATTAGCAGGAATAGCTTTTTAAGTCGAAACATTATTTGGTGATTGGTAGTAAAAGTCTATATATTGGTATTGCAGTTTAACTGACAATGAGCGACTTTTTTTTCAATGATACTTAGCTTTTCGAGCAAGGGGGGTGGGGTGGTGGGAGGGTGCGAAATTAAGGGTGAAAACGGTTCGGGCGTCGAATTAGTCCTTGTTTGAGTGCGTGGATGGTTAATCAATGCTACAGCCGTACTCCACATCCATGCTCACGTCTACCCACCCTACCCTTCTGTATAAATACAAATATTGTTTATCGACCAGTACCTAGTGTTACATGAACTTCAATGACTAATTATGATCCAGAAAGTTGTCAAAGTCAAAATTTGGCATCATTAGTGATCGGCTGTGGAAACCTTAAATAGCTATGGAAATAGTTAAATAGCGGTGCAAGTGTTTAAATAGCTATGCAAGTAGTTAAATAGCTATATAAAACTTAAATACGTATGCAAATCTTAAATAGCTGTACAAATAATTAAATACCTATGGAAAACTTAAATAGGTATGCAAATCTTTAATAGCTGTACAAGTAGTTAAATATCTATGCGAGCGGTTAAATAGCTATAGAAAACTTAAATAGCTATGCAAATCTTAAATAGCTACGCAAGTAGTTAAATAGCTGTGAAAAGCTCAAATAGCTATGCAAGCAGTTAAGTAGCTATAGGCAACTTAAATAGCTGAATGTTTATTGAAAAAGTATCTCTTTTGAGAAGCTACGGCTTTAACGGATGGATTCACTATTCAAAATCTATAATCAACAATTATCGAGTGATTGTACTTGAAAAACGGCTCATTTGAAGGATTTTGATTGGATTTGTTAGGGATCCGGTACGGAAACACGCAACATTTTCTCTATGTTAGAATATCTAAGAGTTGAAAATCTTTGTATCAGTCGTCAACATACAGTTAGGCGTTCTATCAAGGTCCTCATCTCCCTACGATACTCCAAAAATTTTGATTTTTCTGAGAAAAGTCAAAACGGAGATAAACGTATGATATCATAGCCTGAAGAGTGACCTCTCAAAATCAACATGATTTATTAGTGAATTCTTCCTTTTTTGCAATAATTGTTCTTAATAGTCTCTAACATCTACCAAAAAATAACTCCTTTTAGATGAAACTGGATTAGGAGTTATTAGGATGAAAGCGAGTATGTTATGACTGTGGCTATGAGTGTTTTGATGGGCTTGCCTATAGGTTCGTGGTTGTCGATCGAAGCGGTCACAAAATCTTGCCAGGCACTGGCTCCCACTCATTTACCGACAAAATGATTCATAGCTGTATCCCCTGTTCAGTCACAAGAAAGTTTGCAATCATCCGCAAACTCGCAAATAAAGTCGTATCTATCCACCAACACACACACACACCCTCTGAACACTGTTCACATATCGGCTCTCCGCCATCTGTTCAGAAAATTGTTTCCATAAAATTTAGATGCCATATTCAGATTGGTCACAGCTAACAACAAATGAAAAGTCAGTTCACTAATTTTACGTGGCACAGTTGACTATCGAGCAAAATGTTAACAGTCTGGAGAGAAGCGCTCGACAAGAAATCTCTATGCATCTTCATGTGCACTATCTAGGTATTTCATACGTTAAAGCATATTTCCTAAAAGTTTTGTCCAATTTAGAGCTCGAAGAAAAGAAACACTATTAGATTCAGGTAAAATGGAATTTCGACAATGTTCAAATTGTAGTATAATTTCGACATGTTTCGAAATTCTACTACAATTTGGACAACGTTGTCGAATTTCTACAGTTGCCGAAATTCTTATGAAATTACGACAGAATATTTTTTACTGGGAATTTTATTGTCCGTATTCCATTAGAACTTGGACAATATTTATTTTAAAAAATATATATAGATGTATATTTAATTAGTAAAATTTTGATTGATAGGGTGTGGGTGTGGGTGGGTGTGTGATTGTGGGATCTGGGGTGTGCATGTGGATGTGGGTATGTGGGTGTGGGCTCGGGTGTGGGTGTAAAGAATAACAACACCCACACCCACACCCCACAACTACAGTCACATCCACACCCACACCCTATTGTTGTATTGCCGGTGGAAAGTGCACAATAAAAGAAAACATGAGTCATATATGTTGTCCCAATTCTGATGGAAAAAGGACAATAAAATGCCCAGCAAAAAAAATTCTGTCGTAATTTCATACGAATTTCGACAATTGTAGAAATCCGACAACATTGTCCAAATTGTAGTAGAATTTCGACATGTTTCAAAATTCTACTACAATTTGGATATTGTCGAAATTCAGATGGCGAAATTATTTTTGTCGAAATTCCATAGAACCTTAGATTCAGCATCATGTTTTGGCCAGACGCTTAACACACAGTGGATGACAATTGGAGCATTCGGTGAAAGACCGACAGTAAGCTTTTCCGAGTTTTGAATGATCACTTATACTCTTTAATTAACAAACTGCCATGTGAAAACCGAAAACGAACTTTTACGACTTAACAATAAAAGACGTTACTTTTTCACTATGAGAATGCGTTAACAAGCTGTTTTCAAATATATTTTACACGTGTTTTTTTCTTAGAAACAGTTTAAAATCGAATTGTTCGTTAGATAACGTCAAGACTAAATTTTTAATGCGTTCTCACAATCAAAAAAGTAATAACTATTTTCATTAAATCGTAAAATCTTAATCAATTTTTACATGGGTAGTTTTTTGATTAATAAGTTTTGTTCAATTTCCGAAATTTATCGGAAACATTTAGTCGGGAAAAACGTGAAACTTCAGCATCTTCAGAAAAAAATAACATTTTTTTGTGAAAATGAAAAAAATTAGACAAATGAAATCATATACAGGGTGGCGCAAAAGTCGGTTTACCGAAAAAAAATTGAATATCTTCATTACGGCTCGAGCAAATAAGCTGATTTTTTTATCAATGATAGAGGCATGTTCAAAGTTCATATCCATAAAGACATGCCTAGAGAGACCCTTTGTGAAGTATCACTATTGATCTCAACAAAAAAATTTTACTTTTTCACAGATAGGAAAAACCCAATATGCAGAGTGGCGTGAAAGGTCACTTTGCTGAAAAGAAATTGAATAAATCCACTAGAACTCGAACAAACGAGCTGATTTTTTTATCAATGATAGGAGCATGTTCAAGCTTTGTATCCATAAAGACATGCCTAGAGACACCCTTTGTTAAGTATATTGTATTTTTTTCTATCTGTGACAAAGTCAATTTTTTTTGTTCAGCTCTATAGCAATACTTAACAAAGGGTCTTTCTAGGCATGTTTTTATGAATATAAACTTTGGACATGCCTCTATCATTGATAAAAAAATCAGCTCATCTGCTCGAGCCGTAATGGAGATATTCAATTTTTTTTCGGTAAACCGATTTTTGCGTCACCCTGTATATAATAAAAATATAATTTATGTTCTATCGACTTATAAAAACTGTTTTCGGTGTTTTGACTTTTCGGTTAGAGAAATTGTAATACGTTTTATCATAAGGGGTTTCTCAATAGTTGTGTTCGATAAAGTTAGTCGCCAAAATTTTCTCACTGAACTGAATTATAGGTTTTCTAAAAACATTTGTTTTTTAAAGGTCTCTAATTTTTCTGGCCGCGACAGTGCTTTCAGAGCAAAAATCAGGACATTTTGCAAACAACTCACAAAATTGCAGCCATTAATGTTCGATATGGTAATTTTTCACCGATCTTAGGGTAAGGTTGTTCCTAAAAAAATTTTTATCGATGATGTTTTTATTTTAGAATTCAACATTTTTTTCCCATCCTGTAGTGAGTACAAGAAACCAAGATTTCTATGAGTAAAATACGTTTTAGGTAAAAATCAAGTCACATGCATGTAGTCAACAAAAATAGCCACTGTAAAGCTCAATAGAAGTGTGATCGAGTGCTCTGTTCAAACTTTTATACCTACATCTGACGTAATGTTTCGAAATTATGGAAAAAGATACATCGAATAACTTACAAAATATAGTTTTACACATACCTTGCTCTTTAAAATGCGATGCTCACATACTTTCTAGAGATTGTTTACTGTACGTCGTGCATCAAACTTAGAAACTGAAATTCCGATGTGTTTCTGAAGTGCTCCTATTTTATGAAATTTGCATAATATGTGACAAAGTAACTTTTCAAGGTAAAGCGTTCTGTTTACAACAAAAGCTGACTCTCTCTTGCTCTCCTACTTGGCTTGAATAATGAGACGACTTTATTATTGCTAGAGTATATATTTACTTCATTTTGAAACATATTTGAAAAGTAAAAAGAGAAATCACAAACACACACAAGTACACACGTAGTGAGGAGTTTTGCATTATTAAACACTGTGATGGAACTGAAAAAAAGACAGCAGGGTGCTTGTAATAATACATTTCAGCAGTTTGCGTTCGAATTGTCAACACTTAAAATATCATGCTACCTTCTCAAGGATTTTTTCGTTTATGTTTCTTCTTTCATCATTTGAAGAGACAAAAAATAACAAAAAGCCGAAGAAGCGAGTAAATTTATGCAAGCTTCATTGTGAGTATGATGTGACTAGTGTAAGGATCAACTTCAACCACACGCACATCCGTACCCTTTCCTACTCACACCTACGGACACTATAAGGCTGTTTACAATCAGAATTTCGTTATTATGTCTCTAAGCTTTCATTTTAGAAAATTAAGTTTTTTCTCACAACCTGTCCTATTCGACTTTCCACAAAACCATATGAAAAAAGTATGTATGACATGTAATCATGTAATCGTAGATAGTCAACACTTCTATATGTGCGTGTGGATGTGGGTATGTGAATGTGGGTGTGGGTGTGGGTGTAGGTGTGTGGAGCAGTCATCCTATTCCGTAATGTTGAACATTGCGGACTCAGTTCCGCCCCCTGAACCAGTTCCATCCAATTCCGGGAGCTCGATCGTCACTCACAATAAAAGACCTCCCAGTCACTGACCGAGTTCCGTCAATTCCCGGAATTCAGGGAACTTAGTCCGGACGAAATTACTCCGAATTCCCAGCAGTTCCGGAATTGTACGAAATTCCGTTGGATCCCAGAATTGAGTGGAGATGGAATCCCCACCAATTCCGGAATAAGACGGAATTCCTAGGAATTCCGTGCAATTCTCTCTCGACTCAATTTCTGGAACTCCGTACCGGAATTACTTACTTATGCGAGAGGATAATCTTCAGTCACAACACCATGTGTGAGGGTGAGGGCGGGAAGCAATTCCGGTTCGGAATTCTGGCAATTGAGTGGAGATAGAATCCCCACTAATTCCGGAATTCGAAGCAACTCTCCGAATTCCGAAATCAGACGGAATTCCGTACCGGAATTACTTACTTGTCCGAGAGAACAATGTTCAGTCACAAGACTTTGGATGTGGATGAGGGCGGGAAGTAATTTCGGTACGGAATTCCGGGAATTGAGTCTAGACGGAATTACACGCAATTTCGGTTCGGAATTCTGGCAATTGAGTGGAGATAGAATCCCCACCAATTCCGGAATTCGAAGCAATTCTCCGAATTCCGAAATCAGACGGAATTCCGTCCAATGCCGTGCAATTCCCTCTCTACTCAATTCCCGGAATTCTGTACGGGAATTAGTTACTTATCCGAGAGAATAATCTTCAGTCACAACACTATGCGTGAGGGTGTGGGTGGGTGTGGAGGTGTGTGGGTGGAGGTGGGGGTGTGGGTAGGGGTGGGGGTGTCGTTGTGGGTGGATGGGTGTGGATGTTGGTTAAAAGGAGAATCACACGCACACGGACACGCACCTCCACATCACACTCACCCACACCACATTCACCTACCCACCTACACTTACACTCACATACCCACACACCCGCACACCTACATCATTACCCATATCCCCGCCGACATATCCACACACCCGCACACCCACATCATCACCCATACCCCCACCCACATACCTACATCCACACTCACACCGACACACCCAGATCGTCTTTTCAAGATGAAAATTAGAAAATCTGAGTTTCCATATTACAGGGTATAAAGACCTTACCCTGTTCTGTTCTGTATTCTGCTCTGCTCAGAGAAGGACAGGGTTATCCTGCCCTGTGTGCAACTCTGCTTTCTACTCAAAAAATGAAGATTTTTATTGAACATTTAAAAGAAAAATAAATGCGAAAACCTCGGATTTAAATCCGAGTGTTATGTGTACTTCAAAAAGTGAAAAGGTATATTCACTGTGTTTTTATCACTAAATTGCAAGGAGAAAATACAGACGTGCTAAGTTAGCATGGACGATACTGTATGCGACCCTATCCGGTGACCACTAACTCTACTCTCACAGTGATATTATATCTTTAGAAATCACAGGAATTGAGTTCGGATTCGTGTTTAGCTTGGAAAATTGGGTAAGAAGAGTTATTTTTGAATGGATTTGCGTTTGTATCTAGCAGGATTACGATCGTAAGCAACCTCATCAATCTATAAGAGATATATCATAGATACAGGCATCAGGATTTTCCTAATAAATTACCAATATTAATAGCTATCGAGTTAGGGTTGTTACCTTTCGATAGTCCTTTTGACTAGCTACAAAATCAGGCATTTGGAAAACCCCAAAACTACTGGTCATTTGAGACACATCTAGGCAATTTGGTTTCTGAATGCAGTTTTTGTGCATTTTGAGACCTTTTTCAGGCGATGTTTTGTTAGAAAGCTACTATTTGGTTCAAAACTAATATCAGATTCGGAATCAGCGTTAAAAACTGAGTCGATTTATATATGTTGTGAATAATTTTGAGAAAAATTTTTTTTTGAAAAAAATCCCTGTACCCCCCTCAGGGATGGTCTGGTCAATAATGACAATTTTTTCGATAACTCAGCCATTTCGTGACGGATCCTTCTCATCTTCGAACTCGACCGAGACATTGTTAAGACTGAACTGTATAGAAAATTTCATCATGATCTGACTCTCCTTTCGAAAGTTATCGTGTATACGGCCGGCCATACTAACCGATTCTAGAGTGTACTCACTTTTTGAGTACACAAAAAGAAACACGCAGACTGTCGGCCTCTTTTATGCAGCCTCTCGGACCTGTGACAGGCTCGAAAATCAGATTCTGTGCCTGTCACAAGCAGGCAGGCTCAATGAACTGTTTGGACCTCTGACCCCTATCAACTATAAAAATGGCAATGATTATGATTTATTCATGTATTTCGCATTTTTTTTAAATAAATTGTTTTCGAAGGCCTGACTATCTAGTGTAACAAGACTCCCACCTAGAAAGAAAGGCAATTTATTGTGGTGTTACAAACAAGTCATTATAATCTTTTTTTCACCATTTCAATGTATTTTTTAGATTCTAATATGTGCGGATGCGTTGAAGGGAGATTTTTTTGACTGATATCCAGATCTTTTTCGTAATATGATAGTGCTTTTGAGTACTCGCCCATGTTAAAATGCACCACACCGACGTTATTGTAGGAACACGCCAAGTCGGGATGATTGGGAGGAAGAGCTTTAATCTTGATTTCAAGTGATATTTCGTGGAATGAAAGTGCTTTCGAATATTCGCCCATTCTATCATACACCGCACCGATGTTCATGTAAGATGTAGCCAATTCAGGATGATTTTCAGGGAGAATTGCTTTGTCGATAGCCAGTGCTTGTTCATAGGACGAAAGTGCTTTCGAGTACTCACCCATGATAGCATATACATTACCGATGTTGTGATAAGAAATAGCCAAATTGGGATGAATCGAAGTGCGACTCTGTTGGCTGATTTTCAGATCTTTTTCGTAATATAAAAGTGCTTCTGAGTACTTGCCCATGTTAGCATACACAGAACCAATGTTGTTATAACAAAGAGCCAAATCGGGATGATTTGGAGAGAGAACTTTTTCCCGAATGTCCAGTGCTCGTTCGTAATATGAAAGCGCTTTCGAATATTCGCCCATGTCATCATAAACCGAGCCGAGTAGAAGATTGTAATCTGCTCGATCTTTATTGGAAGAAGCTTTCTCCAGAAGGATTTTGTAGAGTTGTTCTGCTTTTGAAGCCTCACCAATTTTAATAAGTATGAAAGCTAGTCGAGACCATCCTCGTGCTGCTTTCAAATTGAGCTCTTCACGTATGTGTTCTGTGAGTGCATTAAGATCATGATTGTTATTGCCTATGAGAGTGAGATTGACTTGCCATAGCCGACCAGTTTGATCATCTTCAACTGGCTCAATACGATCGATGCGAAAAATTGTGTGTGTTGAAAAAAGAATTTCTTCTTCTTTACCTTTGAAAAAGCCGACTTCTTTCACGTCGACAAATGGAATCGATGATGTTGCACATAGTGTTGGATCGATGGTCATAACGAAAAGTATGCCAACTGAATTTGGATCTCTGGATGCTGGTAATGCAAAACTTTTAAGGGAAACATTGCGATTACGACTTGTTGAAAGAAAATTGTTGAAAGACATAAGCCCACCTTTTGTTGTTTTCATTTTTTCAAAATCTTTAAGTGATAAGCCTTGACCTCGAAAAACTGGAAATGGACCAGTAAGCGCGGTGCTGGTCGACTGTTGTTCATTACCTAAGGTTTCAATATGCTTATGTAAATGTTGAATAAAAAAACCCATTTTGAGTATAATGTCGACTTCCATTAACCGAAGAGCACGATTGAGCATTGAGTACATAAAATACGGAGCTGTGTACCACCAAATGGGTGTATAACTAAAATATTTATGTTCAATTTTATCAATTTCGTCTTTTCGAATATTATCTTGAAGACGACAGTAGTCAACGAGTTCTTTAACAGACTTTGTGTCATCATATTCGATTTCCAAAAGTGTGTCTTTTAGTAATTGCGTATACATAAATAACGGATCAATTCCATTAAAACTGATCGGGATCATAGCTCGATCACAGCGTTCACAGTCAGCTTTTAATGCTTCACAAATTGCTTCCATTTGTGTGTACACACCTCTTACTTTCGGTATTGCTTTGACCCATTGTTCATGAACTGATTTATTGTCACAAAATACATAAACGGAATCTAACTGTGGCCATGCTTGAATGTCTGGTATTATTTGTGGTCCCAACGATCCGGATACAATCATAAACGCTTTTTCTTCTTTAATTTTACTGAGAAAACTGACACATTCATCAGCATTTGTAAACGTCGTGATTGATGTCACAAAACTCCGTAAATATTGTATTGATTTCTTAAAACCTTCCTGAGTTTCATTAAAACTCGCATCAAGCCAGATCAGTAAAAAATTTTGTAGGACTTGATGAAGGTGAATGGGTAGCAGATCAGTGCCATCAGTAGTGACCAACGATGCTGCTCCACTAGCAGCAATTGTTGTCAATTTTTGGTTGTCCATATTGGATGAATGAATGACTGCAATAAGTGAAAAGTTGTACTCCTATATAATGGTTTATTGTTTTTGTTGACACGTTTGTTTGTCTGATTACTATAGACTTCAAGGACTTCTTTTTTTTTCGATCGTTCGTTTATTTCAAGAGCATTGCTGACAAAACGACGATGGCAAGCGGTCGAAGTCTCTATGCATCAAGCAAGAAGTAGGGGAGAACAAGAATGAAAAAGAATAAAATGAATGCATTGCCATTATCGACAGAAAAAAGAAAAACGAAAAACCATTAATAAAACTTTAATAATGTTGTTGATTGTTTTTATTGTTGTTTGTTTAGTAGTTATACTCTTTCCAATGGAGTAAGTCTGGTGTCGTGTATATGCACAGGTAGACGTGTAGGAAAAAAAGCAATGATGAGAGGATCAAAACACACATGTTTTTTTTCGCTTGTTTCGTTGGAATTAAACAAAGTTCAAAAGCAAACTGCACCAGAAAAATTTAGTGATTGATTATTTGTTATTTTTGTCCTAGAATAATGTCATCATTCTAAACAACTGGCTGAGTGTCTTGTTTCGAATCATTATAGGCAAAATTGATTTTCATACACAATTTAATCCATATTTAATTAATCTTTTATTGTTATTATAACTGAAACAGATAGACTTGAAGTAAAAGATGGTATATGCACAAATATATATATATACATGTTATAGTGGTGGGTAAATAAAAAAAGTTAATAAACTTGAAATGGAAAAGTTGTATTTAATCATTGATTGGTTGTTTGTAATTTTGTTGTAAATGTATTTTTTGCATTGTTTAATGATAATGATGGTAAATAAATGATGCTTTTATTTTTAATCAAATCTGTTATTTACATTTTTATTCTCATATAAATAGCCCATGTGCTCGATAACGCTTGAACTACGATGACACTGTGAGTCCTAATTGCGAAAAATGCCGTAAAAAAATCCTAGTCACATATAACTGCGTTGTAATTGCCGAAGAGCATGATCACCTAACAGTCATCTTCGCATGCAAAGATTCGAAGACAAAGTAGTAGAAAAACTAAGCATGTTATGCCTCGCTGTCTCCTCAAAAATATTACTTTTCCTCAGAATAATCGAAATTAAAATAAATTCAGGGTAAGATCGCTCAGAAATGACGAAAATTTTTACTCGACATCTCGTCTTTTCCCAAAATTTGTGAAGATTTCCGTCATTTAATATTCAAACAATAAGCTGTTGTCAGAAAATACCGAAAATCTTTTTCGCTTTTTTCTAGTTTTGCAGATTTTCGACAGCACACCTCAGCATCTTCGAAGGAGCTTCCTCACAGTCAATAGCCGAAAGCTTTCTTTGAAAGATGCTGTAACACTGTAGTATCTATCAGAGCCCGTTTTTTGAATGAGGCTTTACTCTTCTTATATTGAAAATGACTTTTAGAATTAGAAGGCTTTTTTTGGAGAGTTTTTCAAGTAATTGAATCTGTCAGCGCTTTTCTCCGCTCGAAAAAGAAGAGTTTATTAAAAAAAAGGCTGTCACAGGCACTGCATTCAGGTATACTCTTTCAAACAAAAAATTAAATATGTAAAATAGAGACCACAGAAAACTTTTGGAAACAAAATAAGCCATTTTTTACCCTTATCTGGTAGATATCTTCCTCACACGCCATAGTACATGGCTGAGAATTTGAGGAGAGTCTTCTCACTACAGCCCAACGTATCTTGAAAATTTCATGCGAGTTCAATGGGCCTGGTCTAAGACCGATTTTTGAGACGGGACTTTCAATGGGCAAGCGAATTAACGATGTTGTGAAGCAAAAAAAGAAGTGCGGCTGCTGCTGCGGATTTAAGTGTCTATTCATCTTATCTTAGCCCACACTCACACCCACTTTAAGAAAATTGTATGGTCGGAGACTACTTCTTGATAAGTCAACTCGATCAAGTGTTGCATCTTCAAAAATTCAAACAATAAAAGAACCGTTACTCATAATAACATTGACTATTATTAAACACGAAAATGTTGCTTGTAAAAAACTCATATGATTCAAACCAATACCGCGTATGGAAGCGCTCAAAAATTGGCAATGCAGACATTCGTGGTTCTATGGACAATAGTCTCGATTCATCGTAACTATTCTCGTAAATGTCGTAACGTTTAATACAGCAACTCTACATATTGCTTCTTTCAATGTTATTTCTCCTTTGAAACTTATATTTATATGTTCAGGATGAAGATTCAAATAAGGATATTTTGGCAAATGTTCAAAATAAACTCTATGTATAAAATAAAAGCATCTTTTTCCTCATTACGTCACTATTCAGAAGATCTGCCTTGTTTATAAGTAGTATCCTTATCTCGAAATTTTGTGACTGACGTTCTATTGATAAATTACAGTTGAATAACTAATAACTTTAATCATAAGAGACATAGCAACATTGCAGACAAATGTCAACGATTCGCGACATTTTAAACAAGGACATCTCTTTCTAGAAGTCGACAGTTGTACATCGTCGGTAGTCAAGTTTTTATTACTTGTACTTTGGATAGTTCCGAATATTATATAACAGGGACCACTGACAAAAGTCTATATACGTATCCACGGTTCTGAATACACTTGCTATGAAGTTATGCTCTAAGATAATATCATTCTATGATGACTACAGATAATAATTTAGCAAAAAGAGTCATGATGATATTGAATAAATAACTGTTTTAATCATTACTTGGACATATTAAAGCGTCTTTTTAAGACCTATAAATACGATCAATCGAGGATTCTATCGACTATGAGTCTGCTAAATAATCGTTATTTCAATTAATGAGGGTTATTCCGAATTCGCTTATAAGCCTCCAGCCAATAAAAATAGGGATGAATATATATCGTTTGTTGCTAAGAGCGGCTTGTCTTGTTTGATTTTTTTTCTTTGCATTATTCATTCGTTTCACTTTCATATGAAAGTGAAGCGAATGAATAGTACAAAGAAAAAAAATCAAATAAGATAAGCCGCTCTTAGCAACAAACGATATATATTCATTCCTATTTTTATTGATTGGAGGCTTATAAGCGAATTCGGAATAACACTCATTGAATTCATAAATGTCTCTGTTGATGTTTTGCACTAAATACAATACATCAAATTTTTATATTTATTTTTGCATGATTTTCTCTGACATTTAGAGAAATATCATCGATACACTTGATTTCTACAGATACAAAATACCATATATATAGGTACATTCATGATAAATAGAATAAAATGACACGTAAGTTCCATATGAAATTTATTCCTGTCTTTTTTAATCTTGTCTATTAATGATGGTAGAGACAATAGAAAGAAAGAAACTGTATGTTTTTCTATGACAAAAGGAAAATGATTGATACTTCTTTTTCTTTTGACATTTTGTTTTTGTCAATTTGAATCTATAGATTACACTCACTCTGTCATTTACTTTCTTCTTTGTCCTACTATTTATCTCTACAAAAAGAAAAAGAGCTTTGCTTATTCATCAATCAGTTTAAGTATGTTATGTTTCACTACATACAATTAATTGTCCATAAATGACAACTCTTTCACGTTTTCATCACATGCATACTGAACAACGGGATCAATCGAATGAAAAAATACTTGATACAGTTAATAAACTTCTTGATCGATTATCATTCATTCAACCACATTGTCTTGAAGAACTTGAACAATGGCGTGAAACAGCTTATCAATCTATAGATCAATATTATAAAAAGAAACGTCATGATTTAATTGAAAAACGACTAGAAAAACATCAAATAGAACTTAGTCATCTTCAAGATGAAGTCAATCGATTAATTAATGAACCAAATCTAACACAAAGTCAATGTAAGTTAATTAATCATAATATTCAATTAGAAGAAATTAAACTTAATGAACTTGAACATCTTCAATTAATTATGCGTCCATTAATCATCGATGAAAATTTTGTAGTTCAACGAAATATCTTTCCTCTATCTCAACCGTATCGAAGCATTCATATGAAAACAGGCGTTGAGAGTTCGATTGCTGTCAATGATAAATATCTTCTTATTGATCGAGAAGGTACATATCTATGTTTACTTGATCGAAATTTAAGAATTGTTAATGAAACACCATTTAAACATGATGGGATTCATAGTATTTGTTGGTCATCCACAATAAATCAATTTATCATCATTACTTTTAAAGAAATATTAACATTTGATGCAGATACAATGCTATTGGAAAAGTCTCCTATTTCATCTAATCAAACTTGGTGGCGTGGTACAAGTTCAGAAGACGATTTATTCTTATCAACGGCAGAATGGGGTTCATCAATCTATGTATTTAATATCCGATCATCGTTTGAATTGATCAAAGAATGGCATTCACCTATTACATGTGGAAAAGATGAAATAATTTGTGATCTAAAATATAAGAATAGTTTTCTTGCTATTCCTATTTTTAATAAACACAAAGACGAAAGTCGTCTTGATTTACATTCATCAATAACATTCGAATGTATTTGGTCAGTTCGAATTCATGGACGTTGTCGTTGTTGTTCAATTAATATTAATCAATGGTTAGTAATGGATCATGACGATTGTCAATTCTTTCATATTTCGGCTGATGGACAACTTTTAAAATCGGATAAATACGATCAACATCAACGACTTGAAGATATTCTTCCATGGGGTGAAAATAATATAGTCGTCTTAACCAAAAAAACTGTTAATTTGCACGAAATTTAATAAAAAAATTCCTACAACTAAACTTTTATGGATTAAGAAGTAAAATTTTTTGTATAACTATATAGATCATAAAATAAACTCTATTAGCATCAAGTAAAATGATAGAGCATTAAGACAATGATTTCATAGTGATGAAAGTTCTTTTATGAACATTTTATACCTTCAAGATAATTTGAGTTTTTTTTCTATTCTTATTTCTTTCCACTTTGTCTTCTCAATCAATAGTCTGTTGAATCTTCTTACTCTGGATCTCGATCATATCCATGAAATCCACTCCCTTTTATTACTGATTCTAAATTTTTGCAAAAAAAGATTTGTGACTCCTTGTTGATTCAACTTCAGGTGCACGAAAAAGGAACATATGATAAATTGGATCTATGGAACTTGTGACAATTTGAACGATAGTTGATAGTGTAATGTATCTTAGAAGTAGAGACTTCTTTAAGTTAATCCGAAGAAAAGAAGCACTAAACAAGAACTAAACATTCCCCAACAAACTAAATTTACTTCTTTGATCAATAGCAATAAATAGAAAAACACAAAATAAACTAGTATATAAGTAGGACTAACAGAATAAGGTAAATGATCAAAACAGAGAGCTTAGAAAGAAAAAGAACAGGTGAAAACAAAGGACAGAAAATGTTGTTAATTGATTCAGGTAGATAAATCGAAACGGATGAAACACATAAGAGTAGAAAGAAAGAAAGAAGTATAATGGCTTTGATCATGTTTAGAGAGAGCTAATCTCGTACTTCGAACGCTGACGTGATGTGACTAAGAAGATGCGTATATGTGGAGAACAAAGGTTTGCAACAACAACATAACCGTTCGATGTCATATTAATTGAAGTGTAATTGATTTATCAAAGCTCCCGCTACTGTGTATATTGTTAAAGTTTTGGTAAAAACTGTGCAATATTGAATTTTGTCGAAATTCTGGTCTACTGATTTGTCGCTACATTGGAACCATTAAGCATCGCATAATTCGCTTCTTTTAACGTTAACCAATAGGACTTCGTAAATATTTCGCAATGATAAAGCAACATCGATCGAAGCTGTTTACTGCTTTTCAATAGAAGAGCAAGCAGCATTAATGCATTCTTGGTTCTCATTGATAATCCATAAATTGTCGTTGAATTAAAAACGAAGAAAGTAGCACAAAAGAATTATATCGAAGCATTAGAACAAAACCATTGAACATATCTTATGGAACAAGATGAGAAGTTACAAAATAACTTCATTATCAACGTTGGTACATTACCTCTGTCAAAAGAATGTACCATCGCGATCTTGTATGTTACCAAACTGGACCTTAGTTTCAGTTCTATTATTCGATTCGTAGTACCGATGACTATTGCACCTTATTACAATCCTTAGAGAAGTAAAGTAAGATCACCAGCAAGTACGAATGCTCAGTACGTGCAAAAAAGTCCATATATGATCGAGTTCTGTTGCCAAGTGAAGAATTCGGCAGGTACAACATATTGCACGCCTTAATGTGTCATTCTATATGATTGAAATCTATCTTTCATAACAAGACCGTTACACAGTAAAATTCACCCAGCAAAATATCCATCTAGATCGCGATATTCGAATTAACAGAAGATGATTGTCAGCGTATAACCAAATTCGGTAGCGAAACAAATGAATTTATCTTCGTTGTAGACTATAGTGGACCTATGGCAAGGGGAACAAACAGATTTTAAGGTTTCAAAGGATTCTAAAGGATTTCGAAAGACTTTAGAGATTTTGAATACAAAAATCTGCTTTTTCGCCCTTGAGTGTAAGGCATTCAATGAGTACAAATGCCGTCACGGTCTATGCATTCTATGGCTAGCAGCATTTGATGGTGTTTACGACGGTAACGATATGTCGGATGAAAAATCTCCTCCATTTTCTACAAGCAACAATAATAATCGTACGCTTGAATTCTGCAGAGGATGATTACATCCACTGTACTACGATCCGGTCTATGGGTGAAGTTGGTACTCATGCGATGACGGTCGATGTACAAATTAGTTGTGTACACAGTCTATTTGCGATCATCAATGAGATGTTACTTTAGTTCGAAACGTCCTTTCGATATCAGACTTTTCGAGAATCCGCCATATTTCAGCCTATTTTCAAACAATTTTTTTCTGAATTGGACAGATCTAGCTGCACAACAATGTTCAAGTGTAATCAAAACATATTTATATTTCCATTCGAACGGTCCATTGCTCACCTATCGACGGGATTAGTGTATAGAACAAATAATCGTTCGTCCGCAAATATTATACCTGACTATATTTGTTATGATTCATTCGTCTACCTAGATGTCTATAAGCCAATAATTACAGAACTGCACCAATGGAGTAAAATATTGAAGGAAACGGACCGCGTAACGCGTTTCCGAGATTGTAGCATGCGTTTCGCAACGTTTTTTCAATACAGGACGCGTTTCGCAGCATTCTTACTTACATAAAATGCGTTTTGCCACCGTGTTTTTTAAAACGATCCGAAACGCTTTTTTCAAGATTGCGTTTCGAGGCGTTTCCGAATTCAAATACTGTCGAACGCACTTTGGTCGACAGGCGACGCGTTTCACAGGTACAAATTGAGGGAAAGGTGGAACGCGTTCCTTTTTCAAATGTATGTTGGATTGTTTTTGCTTGGAATGATGCAAAATATATCCGTTCTGCATACAGAATCTTAGAGAAATTCACCAACACAAAGCATATGAGTTAACCAAAGTAAATTCTTTAAAATTACTTTGGAAATGATATGAAATAGCACTTAAAGTTTTGCTCCTTGCACTATTTTTACGTGAAAATCATGATCAAGGATTTTATGAAGGCAAGACTAAAATCAAAGTCTTCTAAATTTTTAGGCTGCTAGGCTGTTATCTAGACTTATTTCGTAGTTAGACTAATGTAAAACATCAAAGTGTAACAAAAATATATTCTGCTTACTTAAAAGCTCATTTCACCACGTTTTTATTTAAAGAAAACATGTTTCGTAAGGTTTACTTTAGAATCGTTTTAAATATTGAGCAGTTCGAAAAGATTTAGTAAAGGTTGATACTAATATAATTAGTATGGCAACTGTCTTTGGTTATTTGTGAACAAAATAATTATCACGTTATCTATAATTTGAATAATTATTAGTATGAGTTCATTCTCGAACGAATTGATAATGAATAATGATACTGTGTACAATACTAGTAAACATGATTTTAGTTTGTACATTGTTGAAGTAAGAGTGACTTTTTAATAAAAGAGATTCGACTTACAAAAGAAAACTCCCTTCATTTATTTCTGTAATTGGAGAAAACAATGGCAGATTTACATTTACAAAAATCTATTAAATCAAGAACATAAATAAAAGATTAAATTTTAAATTTTTTAAAACTATATATAAGAAATTTAATTTTTTAAATAGTAAATATAATTTAAATCGATTAAATTCAGTTCTATTGAGTATCTAAATTTAAATCTGAAAGAGTTTAAATAAAAAATGTATCAAGAAAAGACCACATTAATTGGACATGGGCACCAAAGAAATAATAATTTTCAATTCAGTAGAATGGAAACTGAAAATCTAATTTAGTAAGTTTACGCGAGACTCTAAATGACAGTAGAATAAACATTTATATCATCAGATTATTATAGTTGAACGGTTTGTATATATGTCTTATACTCCTGTTCTCGTGTTCGAATCCGTGTCTTGGCCGCATCAAAATTCATGTAAGTTATAGTTCTGAAGGTCTATGAAAAAATGTAAACGAGTATATAAATTGTACCTGCAATTCAAGATCTATGAAGTCATTGACGGTTTTCAGTTTTTTTTCCATCTAGAATATATGATACCACAGTTTGAGAAACGCTGCAAAATCTTTCACAAAAACAATCGTTACACAGCGTTTGTTTTAGCAGATGTGAAACGCGTCAAACCAGTCAGCATTAACGCGTTTTGCAGCTATGGAAAAACGCGTTTTCAGAACGCGTTTTTTTCGCAGAAATTTACACCATGGGCATGAATCACACATTTAACGGATGAAAAAAAGTCATGAATCGTTCTCATTACACAAAGTAGAATTGAACTTTTCTTGTATATAATATAGAGAAAACTTTCCGCATATGCCTTCTTTGATCGCCACCGATATGAGGAAGTATCAATGATATATTATTTGACTGTAACTGGACTCTTTTGTCCACACGTACTCTTAATGATGATTCCGCTCATTGTTCTGATGGCGAGCACGAATCCTCCGTCGATGATACATGTACTTTGGCCATGATGGACCGTTTTCAATGCATGTTAAACTTGAGTCAACAAGTAAGGTGACTACAAGTTGTGGATGTGTCTGGATGTGAGTGCATGTTGATAAGAAACCAATATCCCTATCACAAAACACAGAGTCACGTCTAGACCTAACCCGCAAACCAGACGCCATGCTCATCACACCCAAACAAGAACAAGACCCACACTCACATCTTACACGTATATTTACCCTCTGTCCTCAACAATATAGCTCTCGAGGTCAATCACACCCTAGTTTATTTATGCGAATTTGTGCACATTTATCATATGTACTGCTCTTCTTTCGCTTTCTTTTGAGAATTTCTTGTAATGCTGATGCACAAACATTGTTTTCTACTACAAATCCTAGTCAAGTGACATTATCACTCGACTATTTTCGTTCAAAAGATAGAATAGACTGCAGTGCATGCCATGTCAGCCTGCTGTTAGTTCCAGGAGTGTCTATCCGATCAAAAAAGTAGGGCACCATATAGTAACACAAATAAATGCTTCAACTGTCAAGATACCTCGTTCAATCGGAGAGCATTCACTAGACATTGTGATCCTTTCTCACCGATTTTATTGCCCGAAACATTCAATGAAGAGAGTGTCTATTAGAGAGAAATGAGAGAACAAACAAACAAATACAAAACTAAATAAGTTACTGTGTTGTTTTTGAGAGCTTCAGCCAGATACTCTGCTCCTTCTTCGCAGATTCGA